CCCAAAGCTTGGTTTTCTCATCTTTACAACATGCAATTGTAAGGACTGAGKTAGAGCCTTCCTTAGATGTTTAATGCTGTTGTGAGATAACTTTCCATGTCTCTCTAGACTGTTTCATGTCTCGAGCAGAGGTAGACACTAACATTGCCTTTTATTCTGCACTTTTATTTGCAAGGATTTTTGTTAAGAAAACAGATTTGGAAAGTAGAGCTAAGCCTCTCTCCAGAGCAAAGGGTTGGCAGGCTTACTAAGATGATGGTTTCTTCCAATACTGAATGATCTATGAACTGTGGCCAAGCCACCTTCTATTTTCTATGAGGGTTTCCCACAATGTGGTTCTCTCAGTGCTAATATCAGGGAAGTCTTAGACAAACTGCAGTGGGTTTGGCATTCCTTGAACCTAAATAATCTCTTAGAGCCTTTACAGTTCTTGACAAGTGCCATATTTTCCACAGAGGAAATAATATTTTTTAACTTCTTGTTAGTATTAGCAAAGAAAAAAAATCTATCTTAATAAGTCCAGGTGGCTTGAAAATTTAAGGCATTCTATGTAATTATTATCTATTATTCTACATAATTATTATTAATTTTATTTGATGTGCTCATTGGCAGACTTAGAAACTAATCTTAAAGTCAAATAATGAAATTGCTATGGTGAACAGAGATTTTATATTTAGGTTGACAAAAATGTATACATATAAAATTTAATTCACCTTTTATTTTGATATAACTATTTTTTTGTATTGTATTTCTGAATTTTTACTATATTAAGGTGGGTATACACATGTTTTGTTCTAAAATATTTTGATTTATTTTTATCTACCTTAAAATATTTCTTTTCATCCTCTTAAGTGCAAGGATAACACAACTTTGCTTGAAGGGCACTTGTCATTTTGCCCCCTGTGCTCTTCTTCTCACTAGTGTTATTTCTCCTAAATCAGTGAGCAAGTGTGTGACTGGATCTTCACTTTGAGAACTGATCAGTTGTGAGAGGGGAACCATATTTTCATTTCATTGACTTCTTACTAATTTAATTACATCATAATTCTGACAATACCAATTGATGGAAAACTCAAAAATTTTAACCTTTTGAAACTTTTGGGGGAGGAGGGTACCAGGGATTGAACTCAGAGATACTTGACCATTGAGCCACATCCCAAGCCCTATTTTATATTTTATTTAGAGACAGGGTCTCACTGAGCTGCTTAGCACCTTGTTTTTGCYGAGGCTGGCTTTGAACTCACGATCCTTCGGCCTCAGCCTCCTGAGCTGCTAGGATTACAGGCATGTGCCATCACACCTGACTGATGTTAAAAGTTTTTTGAGTTTTTTTATATATTATGGTATTAATCCCTTGCCAGAGGAGCAGCTGGCAAAGATTTCTCCCATTCTTTAGGTCTCTCTTCATGCTCCTAATCAATTCTTTGATGTGAAGAAGTTTTTTGTTTTGTTTTTTAATTTGATGTCATCCCACTTACTGATTCTTGGTTTTATTTCTTGACTTTAGGGGTCTTGTTCAGGAAGTTGTTGCCTGTACCTATATGATGGAGTGTTGGCCCTATATTTTTTTTCTAGCAGTTGCAATATTTTTTGTTTAATTACTAAGTTTTTGATCAATTTTGATTTGACCTTTGTGTAGGGTGAGAGGGATCTGATTTCCTTCTTTTACACATGAATATCAAGTTTTCCTAGCACCATATGTTAAAAAGGCTATCTTTTCTCCAACATTATATTTTTGACATCTTTGTAAAGTATCTTTGACATCTTTGTAAAGATGGCTGTGAGTCTGTAGGTTTGACTCTGTGTTTTCTGTTTCATTGTTCTTCATGTCTATTTTGATGTCAGTACTGTTACATGGAGATGTCAGATGGGTTCTTTATCTCCTGAATTCAAAGAATGAGATCCTCAGAGAAGCAAGAGAGTAGAGTAATAAGATTTATTTAAGGCAGAAATAGGTTCCCACAGTAGGAGAGGAATCTCAAGGGAGGGTATCACAGCCTGTTCTTTGCCTGGGGGCTTCTAAAGGCATATCTGATGCCTAGTGTAGGTGATTGGTGGGGACCCTGTTAATGAGGGATCTTAGCATGGACCAATCAAACTCTTCAAGGTCTGAGTTTAATAAGGCAGTCATAAGTGCATAAATTCAATCCCTTATTTACATAATTAAGAACATGAGTTCCACCTCATGGTTGGACACGTCTATTGAAAAAAGGTAAGGGTAGATTCTGTGGTTGGCCACTGCTAGGGCTCAGAGTCCTGGTAGATAAAGAATAGACATTGTAGTTGGAGCTGTTAGGAACAGTAACAGGTGTTCTAGCTAAGAAGGCACCATTGTGGTTGAAGCTGCAGCGGCAGCAATAAGATGTTCTCTAGGCCCAATGTCCTCTTCCAGGATGACATGATCTCCTTCCTTCTTTCCCTTCTCTGAGACTCTTATCCTGTCTGTCTATGGATGGTCTAGCTTTCTGCCTCAATACCATGCTGGTTTTGTTACTACTGCTCTACTACTGCTCTGTTGTATAATTTAAGATCACATATTGTGATGCCTCCTGAATCACTCTTTTGGGTCTCTTATTCTTCCAAATGAATTTATGGACTGTTCATTTTTCTAGTTCTATGAAGAGTGTCATTGGGATTTTGATGGGAATTACATTGAATCTGTATATTGCTTTTAGTACTATGGCTATTTTGACAATATTAATTCTGCCTATCCAAGAACAAGGAAGGACTTTCCATCTTCCAAGGTCTTTTTCAATTTCTTTTTTTAGTGTTTTACAATGTGAAGTGGGATTTTGAATGTCTATTAACTGACTTCATTATTCTAGGTGCTTCAGTATCTATCAGGTCACATCACCACTAGGACTTTGTTTTTTAATATAGGTATGGATTGCATAAGTTAGGTCTCTTTGTTTTCAGGAAGAAAATGTGGACTAGAATGTAAAAAATGTTTTTCTCTGAGTGAAATTTACTGCTTATTTAGAGTTTGAAATTTTAACCATATTAACATGATGCTTTAAGTATTGTTTAGAAAGATTGGTTAAAGTTTACAGAGATTTTTATCATGATCATTTGAAGAAAACTACATGAATTATTTAATTAAAATTTCATGCACCTATATGAATGAATTACTGCCATTATATATATTTTATAGATGAGACTGAGAGAGGTTGTTAGATACCTTCCACTATTGTGGAACTTTCTAGAACTGGGATTTCAGTCCAGACATTAGGTTTCAGAGCCACACTTAGTCATTCAGTATAAAAATAAACTAGAGAGTCTGCTTGTGGCATTAAACTGGGTGAAAGAATCAACACTTAAGAGAACAGACTTCAAATGACTATTAATTAATTAGTCATTGATTCACAGGACTTATTGCAAGAGGAAAAAGTTCAAGGTTATATGCTCATGGAAGAAAAGCAAACTTCTAGAATAGAAGATTTAAAAAAGAAAACCCTTACCAATCCTGTCAGGGAAAAAATAACCTAGTCATGAACTGCTACTATAATAAGAAAAGGCATAAACAGAAATATAGACTGTACAAATTAGCAGTTAAATTTCCACCATGGGTAGAAATTTTTAAATTACAGTTTGTCTTCTTGTTTATATTCCACAATCCATTAGTAAATAGTTATAATCACTAATCTCTGCATTGCAGCCTTTTCTGTCTTGGGCTTTCTGGAGGGTATTCCAGGACATCACCCTGAGGCCCTCAGACAGACTTGTCTGCCGTAGTGCTCTGAAACACATCTTAGATCCATCTGAGATTTCAGTAAATAATTTTGTAGTGTGACCCTGAATTTGGTTTTTGCTCTGAAGTCACTTCTTAATTTGAGTACTCTGGAGAGGCTGGGATTGGGGAACAGTTTTGGTTCCTATACATTAACAGTTGTCTAGCTGTGGTTTTTTCCTTTGCATTTTTACCAGCGAGAAGCTACCAGGCAGCCGTTTCAGCATGTTTTGTGGAACTATCCTTTGGCACATCACTCTTCTTACTGAGTGTGTACTCTGCTTTTCATGCTTACCACAGGTGACAGTGTTGCTAAACGTGTCACTTTTTGCCACTCCAAAGCAAGGATCCACTTTCTTGTTTCCAGTAACTTCTTCCTCACTTCCTTTAAGATTTCACTAGCAAGTTCTTGGAAGGCCAAAAGAATTCTGCTAACAGTTCTGAAGGCTGAAGCAGATCCCAAAGGTGTTTGCAACTGGAAATGGTCAGCTAACTGCGTTCCTTGTAGGTGATTCTCTGTTGAAGAGAGATTTGAGCAAACACCTCACAGAGTCTCCATTTGACCCTCAGGCCATGTCATACGTTTGCCCTTTCCAGCCTTTCCAGTCTCATCTCCTACCACTGGCTGCATTTCACACTATGGTTTTGCTACACAAAACTTGTATTACCTCAACATGTCTTCAAATTACTCAAAACCATGACATATTCCAGGCTGAGTTAGATGACTCTCCCCTATATGGTGCTATGAGTACTTTCACAGTACTCTAGAAGTATTTCTATCACTGTATTAACAGCATTCTCTGATACTTGGATTCAAATCTTGGCTCTAATCTGAATAATCTTGGTCAAGGATTTTGGCCTGCATCTCCCTTCACTTCATCACCACTCATGTAGGGATGACCTCAACCACCAAGTTATTTGGTCTCTTTGTGACTCAGCTTCTTAATCGTTAAAATGGGAATAATAATACTATRTTGGTCAGGATTATCGGGATTAAATGAGATAATACAGGTTACTGTTTAGAGTAGAACCCAGAACAGAGTCCATGCTCAGTAAATATAAGCTATGATAATTAATGATCTGGACTAACAGACAAGATGTGTTCTTCAAGGTCGCTGAATTGTAGGGCACAACTGATATCCAGTTGACTGTGTTTGGTCCCGCAAGCACTTCTATTATTAGAGAGACTATAGACACCTCCTTTCTCAAGAGGCTGTGATATCTGAATTTGTCAGAATATCATTGATTATCCCTTTTCTCCCTTCTCTTGTAGGTCTGCAGGACAACCCTTGGTTCTGTGACTGTCAYATTTCCAAAATAATTGAGTTGTCAAAGGTTGCTGATCCGACCGTAGTGCTTCTTGACCCAATGATGGTGTGTAGTGACCCTGAGCATCTCTCAGGGATTTTGTTTCAGAAGGCTGAGTTGGAGCAGTGTCTGAAGCCATCCGTGATGACTTCGGCCACCCAAATCATGTCAGCTCTGGGAAGTAATGTTCTGCTGCGGTGTGATGCCACTGGCTACCCCACCCCACGGCTCACGTGGACCAGATCTGACAGCTCACCAGTTAATTATACAGGTATTTTCTTCATTCAGCCCTATGAAACCAGGAGTTTGCAAAAGTCTGAATTTAATCTCATGTTCCTGTATAATTTGAAATTGGCAGATTAACTCTAATAAAGCACATGAGAATTGTTGGATGCAAGGGATTTGAAAGGTGCTATTTATTGATTAATATATTTCTCAGATTATCTTTATCTAGATAAAGCTAGACAACATAATCTTTTTTTTTTCTTAAGTAGAAATCCAGTGGATGGACACAAGGCCCTTGTTGTTGCTCTATCATTTAGGATATGGCTCACTTGAAAATGTAAAACCATCAAAAAATTTTTAAAAATGATTTTCATACAAGAGTATCCTTTTGAATGATTATTTAAATAAATTAAATGGAAACCTTATTATGAGGCAAAAGCATAAATTTTAGAAATGCTGATTACCTAGACTTTTCAGATCTTTCCAAACCCATACTTTAGTGACTTAGTCAGTGATATTCTGATGATTAAAGGTATATAATTTTGAAACTCTTCAAAATGAATTAAAATTGAGGTCTAAATAATGAAACCCGATGGATCACAAAAGTCAAGGCTTCAAATTCCTCAAATAACTAGTAAAGAGCCCACAGTTTAAACTGGTGACCTAACTTTTGGGCTATTGGTATATTTCAGAAAACTTCTAAAATCAAAACAGAATGGAAATATGTTTAGATTTTAATGTTTAGGAAAGCAAAATTATAATTTTGTAAAAACTATATATTATTCTGCAAGCAAAAGCATCTATAGTTTACTGGTTTGCCTAAGTTAAATATAAAGGATTTAGAATACAAATGACAACTCTTCCATGACCCTGAATGATGGACTATCTTCTGGATATGTGGATAAATGCATTTTATTACAATTAAAAAAATATGTTGAGCAATATTTAAATGAGGTCTTTTGAAAAACCTTTTATAGAATCACATTTAAAATTGGAAGGGAGGGCTGGGGATGTGGCTCAAGCGGTAGCGCGCTCGCCTGGCATGCGTGCGGCCCGGGTCCGATCCTCAGCACCACATACAAACAAAGATGTTATGTCCGCCGAGAACTGAAAAATAAACATTAAAAAAATTCTCTCTCTCTCTCTCTCTTTTAAAAAAAAAATAAATAAAAAATAAAATTGGAAGGGACCTCTAAGATCACCATCTTACCCTCTTTTTTTCGCAAATGCGGAAACATAGGTCTAAAGACACTAATGGACTTATCTAAAATTACATACTATTTATTAAACAAAAGTTTGCTAGAATTCAAATTTCCAGTAGAGTGTTTGCCTAGCCAACTCAAAGCCCTGGTTCAATCCCCAGTACCAAAAAATTTGAATTTAATTAAATTAAAAATAAAATATCATCCCCCATACAGATCTCACAGCACCTGGCAGGTCCTGGAGTTCATAAAAACCATCTGCAGAGTCATTACCCACCATCAGAGACTTGTAAAGTACCATTTACTTCTTGGCTTATGTGAGAGGGATGGATATAAAGCAGGTAGTTGTTTCCTTCTTAGCTGGCATGACTGCTCAAATTTTTCCTTTTTCTTTTTTTCTCAGAGCATATGTTTGTTTTCTTCCAGTAATTCAGGAGTCTCCAGAGGAAGGAGTCAGATGGTCCATAATAAGCTTGACAGGCATTTCTTACAAGGACGCTGGGGATTACAAATGTAAGGCCAAAAATTTGGCTGGGATGACAGAAGCTGTGGTTACCGTGACAGTGGTTGGCACTGTCACAACCACCATAGCATCAGACACTTCGGAAAGGAGAACTGGAGATCAGCCTGAGGAGGAGGTGCAACCGGAATTTGGAAGACTGACATCCACATCTTCATCTTCTTCTTCCTCTTCTTCTTTTTCTACTTCTGCTTTGTCTTCTGCCTCTGTTGCATCTTCCTCTTTGTCTCCTGTCTCCATTGTTTCAACCACACCTGGCATTTCAGCAAGCATCACCAGGGCCAGCAGGCAGCCGCTCCAGCTCCGACCAGATGGGAAAAGAAAAGTAAAGGTGGAGAAGTGGGGGAGCAAGCTTCCTCCTGCCAGTGACAATAAGAAAGGAGAGCTGGCATTGTTGGATCAAGCAATGCCCCTGGAGACCAATGCCACAATAGAAGACCTTAGGGTAGTCATCGAGACGAAAGAGAGTGTGACTTTAACCTGGAACACCATTAACACCACACATAGCGCTGGGCTGACTGTGCTATATTCCAAGTATGGTGAGAAGGATCTGCTGCTGTTGAATGCAGACCCCAGCAAGAACCAAGTAACCCTAGATGGCTTGGAGCCTGGAAGACAGTATGTGGCATGTGTCTGTCCAAAAGGAGTACCTCCCCAGAAGGACCAGTGCATCACATTTTCCACTGACAATGTCGACGAAGGTGATTCGCAATGGTCTTTCCTCATCGTGGTGACCAGTACTGCCTGTGTTATTGTCTTGCCATTAATTTGTTTTTTATTGTATAAAGTTTGCAAACTGCAATGTAAGTCAGAATCTTTCTGGGAAGATGATTTGGCAAAAGAGACTTATATCCAATTTGAGACCCTGTCGCCCAGGTCTCAAAGTCTAGGGGAGCTCTGGACAAGAAGGCACAGAGACGATTCAGAAAAGTTGCTGCTGTGTTCTAGGTCAAGTGTGGAATCTTAGATGACTTCTTGTTTTTTATTTTTTTGGTACCAGGGTTAGATGACTTCTTAAAAGTAACAATTCTAAACCTGAGTATTATTGTTAAGGTTTTGCAGCTCAGGTATGTGTGAGCTACAAAAATAAAGCATCCAGTGGTTTAGTTGACCCTCTGTTTGGGTGACTTTTGGACAGATTTTCATACACTACATAAAATATCCCAAATGGAAGTGTTTTCCAAAAAAATATTATGAGACTTCTGAACTGAAAAGACAAAAAATATTGACGTTTGTTGTGTGGAGAATGTCCCCAGAAATAATTTTTAGGGAGGTACTTAATAATGATTTTAGGGTAATGTTTTAGTTCTTAAATTCATGTGGAAATAGTTATAACAAGTGAACTCTGCATTTTAAAATTTTTTTTGAGCAATGAAAATAGATTAGTATAACCACCTATGCCTTGATGCTCATTCATGTACAAAGTGCTTTGTGGCATTTGCTGTGGACATTTGTGGCCACTACCCAGTCAGTGTGTTAGTGAACATGGGATCATAAAGAATTTTCTGCTCACTAGGGTTTCAATCCATCTCAGTGGAGAGGGAGGGTTCTTTCTGTTGTTTTCATTATGCACTGTACTACTGTAGAGGTGTTCATATTTCATGTGAAAAAAACTCCCCCTGTGCTTAGAAATATTAGTATCAGAAAAAAAAAAACAAATGGAAAAAAGAGGATCATGACCAATAAGCCATTTCTAAATAAGGATAACTGTTGCATTTTAACACATCTGCTGATAGATCATAYGGGCGTTCTATTTTAGATGTGCTAAATTTAAAACAATCTCTTTAATATTTGGCCATTTGCTCTTATTCTCTTTGTCTTTCCCCTCTTCCCTTCTTCTTTTTTTCAGATATAAAATTTTAATTACAAACAGTACTGTGGAACAATTTAGAAATGATTAAAGAAAAACTAAGCCCTCTTCCTCCCCCTGTATCCACTGTTTACATTTGACATGTTCATTCTTTTCACTGCTTACAATCGCAAGAACTTAAATCAGTGACTTTCATTTTTGAGTGTTTGCTGTTATTTCTATAAATAGGACTATAGTAAACATTTTGTAATATTGTGGGTATCTTTTCAAGTCATTGTTTATAAGTCATTTTCATTCTTTTTTAACAGCTACATAGTTTTTCATGGTGTAAATATGCCATTATTTTTTCAATTCAAACACCTCCTGATTCATGGTCATTCAGGTTGTTTCTAGTTGTCTGCTTTTATAAATGTGATACAGTAAATGTCTCCACTTTGTTTTTGTGCTTCTCATTTTCTTTTATTAAATAAACTCCTAAAATGAGATAGCTAGATAAAAACATGCTTTTATTTTAATAAATATTAATTATTATATAACTTCCTAAAAGATTCTAACAGTTTACATTCTCTTTAAAATGTGGAAATGTACCTATTTTTCTACATCTTTTATCAGTATTGCATCTTCTGAATCTTTTTATTTATTTATTTATTTAATCTTTTTTTTATTATTGGTTATTCAAAACATTACAAAGCTCTTGACATATCATATTTCATACATTTGATTCAAGCCGATTATGAACTCCCATTTTTACCCCGTATACAGATTGCAGAATCACATCGGTTACACATCCACTTTTTTACATACTGCCATACTAGTGTCTGTTGTATTCTGCTGCCTTTCCTATCCTCTACTATCCCCCCTCCCCTCCCCTCCCCTCCCCTCCCATCTCTCTCTCTACCCCATCTACTGTAATTCATTTCTCT